GTGATTATCTGGGTCGTGGAGATCTTTTTTGTACAGTTCTTCTGTGTATTCTTGCCACCTCTTCTTAATATCTTCTGTTCTGTTAGGTCCATACAATTTCTGTCCTTTTTAATATTCCCTTGGTATCTCTAATTTTCTTGAAGAGATCTCTAGTCTTTCCCATTCTATTGTTCTCCTTTATTTCTTTGCATTGATCACTGAGGAAGGCTTCCTTATCTCTCCTTGCTATTCTCTGGAATTCTGCATTCAAATGGGTATATTTCTCCTTCCCCTTTGCTTTTCACTTCTCTTCTTTTCACAGCTATCTGTAAGGCCTCCTCAGACAGCCATTTTGCTTTTTTGCATTTCTCTTTCTTGGGGATGGTCTTGATTCCTGCCTCCTGTACAATGTCACGAACCTCTGTCCATAGTTCCTCAGGCACTCTGTCTATCAGATCTAGTCCCTTAAATCTATTTCTCACTTCCACTGTATAGTCATAAGGGATTTGATTTAGGTCATACCTGAATGGTCTAGTGGTTTTCCCCACTTTCTTCAGTTTAAGTCTGAATTTGGCAATAAGGAGGTCGGGTCATGGTGGAGACATCTGACAGAATGTGGTCCACTGGAGAAGGGAATGGCAAACCACTTCAGTATTCTTGCCTTGAGAACCCCATGAGCAGTATGAAAAGGCAAAAAGATAGGACACTGAAAGATGAACTCCCCAGGTTGCTAGTGCCCAATATGCTACTGGAGATCAGTGGAGAAAAAATGAAGGGATGGAGCCAAAGCAAAAACCACACCCAATTGTGGGTGGGACTGGTGATAGAAGCAAGGTTCAATGCTGTAAAGAGCAATATTGCCTGGAATATAACCTGGAATGTTAGGTCCATGAATCAAGGCAAATTGGAAGTGGTCAAACAGGATATGGCAAGAGTGAACATTGACATTCTAAGAATCAGCAAACTAAGATGGACCAGAATGGGTGAATTTAACTCAGATGACCATTATATATACTATTGTGGGCAAAAATCACTTAGAAGAAATGGAGTAGCCATCACAGTCAACAAAAGAGTCCAAAATGCAGTACTTGGAAGCAGTCTCAGAAATGACAGAATGATCTGTTTCCAAGGCAAACCATTCAATATCATGTTAATCCAAGTCTATGTCCTGACCACTAACGCTGAAGAAGGTGAAATTGAACGGTTCTATGAAGACCCACAAGACCTTTTAGAACTAACACCGAAAAAAGATGTCCTTTTCATTATAGGGGACTGGAATGCCAAATTACGAAGTCAAGAAACACCTGGAGTAACAGGCAAATTTGGCCTTGAAGTACAGAATGAAGCAGGGCAAAGGCTAATAGAGTTCTGCCATGAGAATGCACTGGTCATAGAAAACACTTTCTGCAATAACACAAGAGAAGACTCTATACATGGACATCACCAGATGGTCAACACCGAAATCAGATTGATTATATTCTTTGCAGCCAAAGATGGAGAAGCTCTATACAGTCAGCAAAAACAATACCGGGAGCTGACTGTGGCTCAGATCTTGAACCCCTTATTGCCAAATTCAGACTTAAGGTCACATACTGGGAGCTCAACTTGGGACTTGGGGCTAAGTAGTGAGGTCCTTGAGTCCTGGCTCTTCTTTAACCTGCTACCTGAATTTAGGCCTTTAAATTCACTGATTCACTGTTTCCACACCTTGATTGTATGTATGCCAAGTTATGTACGCTCTGCTAGAGTTAGTATTAAATGTTCAGGTCATACTAAAGAGGTCTAAAATTTTGTTGAAAAGTACACAGTAAAAATTGAACAGATTAACGGCTAAATCATATTCTTGTATGAGATGAACTGACCTGTAGAAATGTCAAATATTCTCAGATCCGTCTAAATTAACCTTTGTTCTAATGAAGATTATCTTAATGTTTACCCTGAAAACGAAATTCTTGAGCTCAACCAAAAAAAATTGAGATAAATAGGAACTATATGGAGTATTGTTCTCTCCAGGTACTACCACCAAAGTATTAGTCTCTATAAATAGTCCAGTTTTAGTAGAGGAATGGATACATGGTCATTGTAAGAGAATAACAGTTTTTTGCTTTTTAATGAAGGAATGGATTTTTTTAAAAATGGCTATGATAATGTTTATCATAGCCAGGACATGGAAGCAACCCAGATGCCCATCAGCAGACAAATGGATAAGGAAGCTGTGGTACATATACACCATGGAATATTACTCAGCCATTAATGATTCATGTCAATGTATGACAAAAACCACTACAATATTGTAAAGTAATTAGCCTCCAACTAATAAAAAATAAAAATTAAAAAAAATTAAAAAAAAAAGAAAAAAAATGGTGTTGCCAATGAAAGCCTAGTTTCTTATTTTTCTCCTGCTTAACTGGAATTTTTCAGGTCCTCAAGGTTGTATCCTCTAGCAAGGATCATTCTCTTTGCATCTCTTCTCTTTCTTATATATACTTACTTTCTCAGTGATAACATGCAGCTTCATCTTTACTTTATAAGTTTCAAATTTAAATCTCCAAGCCCATTACTAAAACATTGCAAAGCACAGAACTGACCCCCCACTAAACATTTGTCAAATTAATGAATACTTTTTTTTTTAAAAAAAAAAGCTCTAAAGTTTCCTTGAGGGACAAATACCCACAAAATTTAAATAAATCAATAGACTCTTCAAGGGAAATTTTCAATGGAATAAAAATATCATTTCCCCTTACAGTTAGCAGTTAGTTTAATGTAATCTCAATGAAAATAACAAGAGCATTTTTGAAAGGTATTTTATTCTTATAAAATGGATCTTAACCATTATCCTATGATCCAAAAATCTCCTTCCTAGGTTTACACTCAAAAGGAATGAAAATTTATGTTCACATAAAAACTTGCCCACAGCTACTTATTGCAACTTTATTCAGTTTATCAAATCTGGAAAGCTACCTAAGTGTCCTTCAACTAGTGAATAGATAAAGAAAGCATTCCACATTCTTACAATTGAA